TCATGACGGGGGGGGGCGAGGGATGAAGGGGTTTTTGGCCGAGGGGTTAAGTCGGGGTGGAAGTGGCGGTTACCCGCAACACTTCTGACGATGACTACGAACCAATTTGCGCCCCCAACCACCAATTCGTCCGCTTGTTTCAGAAGCGTGAGGAGATGCAACGTGTTGTTATCTCAACACTTCTCTGGAAGCACTGGGGAAAATCGCGTCCGCTGGCCCAGGAATAAGAAAAGTGGCGCAGGCAGTGAACAGAGAAAGATCAGATTCAAAGGCGCTAAAAACTTCTTCTTCTTCTTCTTCTGCTTCTCAGGAATGGGCCTTGGCTTTCAGCAAAATTTCCCTCCGTTCTTGGCGGACCGCAGCCGCTGATTGCCAATTTATTATTTCCATACTCTTCTAATCCTCTTCAAACCTCACCTATCCATCTTTTACATGGTCTACCTTGTTTCCTCCCTCCTTCCATTATAGATGCAATTATTTTTTGACGTAAATACGTCTATAAGGAAGGGTCATTCGGCGAAAAAGTGGAACGAAAAAGGGAAACGAAAAAGGGGAACGAAAAAGGGGAACGAAAAAGTGTAACCTGGTTACCTAGGGAACGTCGTGTTTACTCGGCATTGTTGTTACCTATAAAACATTACATTACTTTACATTACATTCAGCTACCACAGACCCATCTTAAGCGTAACTAATTCAAGTTAAATAAGCAAAGTCTTAATCAAACTTTGTATTCGTTCGATATTCATAGTTTAAATACGTCGACATAATCTCAATATGAGGGATTTTGTAAATGTTACGATACGCTTATCCAAATAACATAAATTCAGTCCTTACCTCAAAGAAAACACAGCCCGTCTGACTTCTGGAACGTGAAGTTGTGCAGATTCTTAAACGTTTACCGACGTTTCAGAGGTGCTCTCTGCATCCATCATCAGGACAATGAGTAAAGTTACATAGGCGTAAGCGCTGCCAACATAACGATATTTTATAGAAGCGCTGCCTTAGTTCCGTAACACGCCACAGCGAAAAGCGAGGCGCTGTAAACGTAGAATTGAAAACAGATTTTTTTTTTCTAATTTCATCTTCCAATAGGCGGTGTATGGCTTCGCTGAGAAAGTCTCTGCGTATTTATTAACTTCTGTTTCTCCATTGTTTTTTCACGTCTCAATAAATAGTGACTGTTGAAGTGCACAGACTCCTTAGCGCAAGAGTGGCGCAATCCTCCCCTTTAAGGTTTCAGGTCAGCGGCAAGCGGGGGGGGGGGGAGATTCTTTTTCCAAGAGAGGCGACAGGCAGTACAAAGAATTAATATTGGACTCGGCCAGAAAAACAGACGACAAACAATAAAAACGTGGATTTCACGGAATTAAATATTTTCTTACTACGGTGGCGACGAATAACTTAAAACTGATTACGAAATTATCCAGACGCGTGTAATAAGCAAGTGTTTTCTTGGTTGGCGATTATTTACCACCGAAGGATCTTGAGCCTCGTCCGATAATATTTATCACGACGTACGTTCATTGTCTTAGATTCTCTTGTCATCGTTAAAGCGTGATTTACCTGCATTCTTACAAGGACTTTCAAGCTTTTGATCTTAGATTAAGATTAAAACGCAAGACAAAATTAATTCTCTTTCAGAGACCTGATTTTCTCCTTATGGGTCCTCATGCCGCGTGGAATTGGTGGTAGACACCAGCATTTCGCATGAACATACTACAACCCTAAAGATGGAGGCAATATGTTCTCGTGAGACTATACATAAACAACATTTTGGACACTTCCCTCCGTTGTCTTAAGTATATTTTATTCTCACGACGTTTCGGGAGCTGATTCTACCGTCGATCCCGACAGTAGTCTATAATATCAAGTGTCACTATAATGTGAAGTAATTATCGGAAGACGAGACACGGCTAACCCCCGAAACGTCGTCCTGTTTCAGACAATAGACGATTTTCGAGATGCAATGAGTTAGAGGCTGCCGGTCCAATTTTCGGACTGAAGGAACGTCTTGATGGGATCAGATCCAAGGGGTGGGGGGGGGGGGGGGGGGGGGGTATGATGTCAGTGTTTCAGTCGGATAGCTGCTGACGTCATGATAGTGATCGGTCCTCGAGTCGAGAGGATAATACTTTAAAATTGTTTCGTGATGCAACAAGGAACAGCAAACATTTGACAAGCCGTGCATTTCCCAGAAACACTGGGCACTGTGTGTGTGTGTAACTGTTAACTATTTAAGACTCCTAATGATTGTCCAATAAGTGATGACTCACTGCAACGCGAATTTCTACTCGACTGTGTTTCACCCGTCTGCCTCATCACTCACACGGCTCAACATTCTTCGTAGTTTCACGAACGCCTCCTTCCACATCCTTACCATAAACCGCCTTGCTATCTTACCCTATGCAGTTTAACCAGCGTTATTAATTTCGGTTGGATGTTACGAAATTTGGAAGAAATAATTTAGGATGGCCCGTCTAGGAGCCTGGATTTGAAACCTTGACTACCACGAATAAAAATCAGAAATACTAACCATTCAGCCATGGCGTCCAGTAATTACTTCGTTATTTAGTCTATCAAGAGAATCTGTTAACAATGAAATGGCAAGGAATATCTTTTCTGATTCGTAAGAAGAGCTTTGGTCCAATAATATGTTTGACTTTTAACCTTCATACCGACCTCCAAAGACAGAGAAGATTGGGTTAGGTTAGGTTAGGTTTGGTTATGTTAGGTTAGGTTAGGTTAGGTTTGGTTTGGTTATGTTAGGTTAGATTAGGTCAGAAATTGTTGGGTTAGGTTAGGTTAAGTTAGGTTAGGTTACAAATATGCAACATTCCGAAAGCCTTCAAATGCAACTGATTAATCAATTAGAGACGTAAAACTGATTACTATTAAAACAATATCCTGAGTCTGGATGCAGATGGCAGCACCATCAAACAATTATCACTGCAACGAACCATGTTAACGATAACAGCACCAGAGCGATCTGGTAGAAGCCCGAGGCAACACTCATCTAAAAAAAACAGTCGAATTCGAAAGAAAGCTTCTACCAGATGACAAGTCTTTTCAATTTTTTGTTCTGCTGATGCTGTGGTCTCACGTGTTCATGAGGAAGAAAACCTTGCCGTCCAATTTCCTTTTCATTCTCTTCTTCTCTCCTTCTCGTCTCTGTATTGCCGCCGCGAACAGCTGAGGCCTCCCCCCCCTCCCCCCCGACAAACCGCTTCAAACAACTGACTACTCAAATGCGCAGAACAATTTCTCTGTTGAAAAATAACTACACACACACTACGTTCGTCGATATTTTACCAACTGACATCTTCAAAAATAAATATTCTCCTTCGTGAACCAATTCAGGGCGTGTCTGATTTTGCAATCTCCGAAGTAATCCCATATGAATATGTAGGCCTAAGTAGTAGACCTGTGTGTATTTAAATCAAGTCATATTTAAAATTGATTACTAGTAGGGAATTCGACGAACATTTTAAGGACGCGCGCACCATAATCACAATCTTTCATTAAACCTGCGAATTCGATACGACAGACCTAAAAATCTTTTGTATTACAAACCCAGAAGGTTAAAATCGAACTCTTTGCAACCAACCAGTAACTCTGAATTTTGCATTCATGTGTTTCGTATGATCCTCAGTCTAAACAGCGATTATTATTTCCTTAAACGACGTTAACCAGTTGATCTCTGTAATGGTGAAGCGTGGTGTTTTCTTCGCGGTACGGGCTGAATGTTTTAATATTAATTAGACGAGCTTCTGATTCAGGGGTTAACCAGTTGATCTCTGTAATGGTGAAGTGCGGTGTTTTCTTCGCGGTACGGACTGGATTCTCATAATATTATTTAGACGAGCTTCGGGCGGTAGATCGTGGGACGGCGTCGAAGCGAGGCCGCAGCTGTGCCACTGTGGCCGAATGTTGCAACGAAAACGCTGTTCGTCTGTTTGCTCAGCGCGAT